GGCCAGAACATTAGAAGCCCTCCCACTGTTGACCCCCCCCAAGCACCAAGATGACAGAGCATCACACCACTGATGGACCTCTGCTCCAGATGTTTGTCCAATTCCCTCTTGAAGCCATCCATGCTTGTAGATGCCACCACCTCCTGTGGCAGTGAATTCTAGCTCTCCCCACCCTGCTGTATGTCGCTACGTCGACAACAGACATTCAGTGTTCTCACCCTGAAGGTGAAACTTCTTTGTATCTATGAGCTTTGAGACTTAGCGATGTAGAAACCCATTCAGGAAGGTCTTTTTATGTCAAGCAAGCAACTTCACCAGTTTGGTGTGAGAGCCAGTTTGGTGTAGTGGTTCAGTGCGCAGACTCTAATCTGAGCGAACCAGGTTTGATTCCCCACTCCTCCACTTGCACCTGCTGGATGACCTTGGGCAAGCCACAGTTCTGACAAGAGCTGTCCTTGAAAAGAGCAGTTTCTGTCAAGAACTCTCTCGGCCCCACCTACCTCACAGGGTGTCTGTTGTGAGGAGGGGAAGGGAAAGGGGTTTGTAAGCCGCTCTGGGACTCCTTTGGGTAGCGAAGGGCAGGGCTATAAATCCAATCTCTTCTTCTCCTTCTTCATCTGTACTTTAAGAAACAGTTTTATTTAAATATTGCATGTATAAGATATTTAAAGGCAGTTATAAATGTTAAACTCAACTGTATTGTGAATTTATCCTTGTTTGTTTTCTTGATAAATCAGGTGTAATTTGCTAAATAAAGTTACTATTATTAGCACTACCTGAGTAAGTCACCTTTCCTTGATAATATATAATTCAGATAAACTTTCACTTATTTTGTTCCAAATTTTATAACACATTTCCATTGTGCTTGAGTGAAGTCAGTCGTTTTCGCTCCTTACTAAATAACCCACTGCACTGTTACTGTTGTTAAGAAATTTTGGATAAAAGTTTCAAAAACTATTAGAAACATTACCGGGTATTCCATTCCTCTATCGCTGGAAATATATTTGCTTGACCTTTGCAAAAAAGCTCCAAAATCCCCCAAAATAAGGCGAGAACTTATTTCAATATTTTTGACAGCAGCAAAGATAATTATTGCTAACACTTGGAAAAGCAATAACACTTTAACTCTCTCGCAATGGTATGCCAAACTCTGGGAATACTATTCCATGGATAAGATCTCGGAAAAGGTATCATATTTTCATAATTCCTATAGTTATCATGATTTCCAAACAAAATGGTTTTCATTCTTAGAACATGTTTTCTGTAATATTTCCTCTTCTTGTAATGTTCCACGCAAATTTTATGATATATTACACTTTATGTAACACAGTTCGACTTAATGTCTGAACGTAATGACATCCTGCTCAACCATATCTTTGTTTCTGTAATTGTCTATTTTAAGACTTCTTTGCAATGTGACTGTTGTTGTTGTTTTGTTGTTGTATATTCTAATTTTGAAAATAAATAAAAAACTTTCTAAAAAAAATGTGGACCTACAGGCAGTTATAGGAGCTGCGGTGGCTCAAGTGGTTAACACACTGAACTGCAGGCTGTGGAAGGTCAGTAGTTCAGCAGTTCGAGACCCAAGTGTGCAGCATGATGGAGTGAGCTCCCGTCTCTAGTTCCAGCTCCTGCCAACCTAGCAGTTTGAAAGCAAGAAACTGCAAGTAGATAAATAGGTACCTGCTTCGGTGTGAAGGTAACAGCATTCCATGTACCTTGGTGTTTAGTCATGCCGGCCACATGACCACGGAAACGTCTTCGGACAGCGCTGGCTCTTTGGCTTGGGAACGGAGATGAGCACCGCAACCCTAGAGTCGGATTTGACTGGCTTTCGAGCAAGGGAACCTTTACCTTTACAGGCAGTTATGCTGCTAAACGAATGTTAAAAATTGAAATCAACTGGATTACGGTTAGATTTGATTTGTGACTACAGAATCCGTGCTGTGCAAACAGGTGGCCATATTCCAGCCCCGTTGCGTGAAGAGTTCAGAGGCAGCAACTCTACTGCTTCAGCTCTCCCTCTACCCACCCTCACCCTGTTGCCGGGAGCATGGAAATTAATTGCAGGTACTGCACAACATATATGAACATGTGCAAAGAGGGGACCACTTTTCTCTAGGCAGAGAAGAAAAAAGTATCCCCTAGTTGTGACCATCTCTCCTTACACAAGTAGAAAAAGTTCCATATGTTTATCCAGTTCCCGCTTGAAGCCGTCCATGCTTGTAGCCGCCGCCATCTCCTGTGGCAGTGAATTCCATGTGTTAATCACTCTTTGGGTGAAGAAGGACTTCCTTTTATCTGTTCTAACCTGACCGCTCAGCAATTTCATGGCGTGCCCATGAGTTCTTGTATTGTGAGAAAGGGAGAAAAGTACTTCTTTCTCCACCTGCTCTGTCCCACGCATAACCTTATAAACCTCGATCAGGTCACCCCTCAGCCGTTGTTTCTCCAAGCTAAAGCGCCCTAAGCATTTTAACCTTTCTTCATAGGGAAAGTGTCCCAACCCTTTTATCATTACTGGCCCCGGACAGACATGCCAGAGCGCGCGGGGGGGGGGAGCGCGGCTATTTGCACCGTCGCATTCTGATGCGCTATTATGCGATCAGACGCGACGGCAGCTTCCCCGCAGCAAAGAGGACGACGGGGGAGGAAGCCGCGTGCCGGCGCGATCACACCGGGAGGCTTCCATAGGTGGCCCGTGGCAAAGCGTTTGCTAGTACATGTGGTGTGCTAGTTTTTTACTGCGCGGCTTCGGCGGCTTGCCATGGGTTCGCCACGGGAGTGCTACGCCTCCCAGATGTTCCCGTGTGATCATGCCCGGACACTTTGCGGGACTCCCGTGCCTTCAGCAGGGCAAATGCTCCGTGTGACCAGGGCCCTAGTTGCCCCTTTCTGCACTTTTTCCAATGCTATAATATCCTTTTTGAGGTGGTGACCAGAACTGAACAAGTCTCAGAAAAGTGAAGGGAGAGCCTTCTCGCTTACTACTTAAGTAGAAAGAGCTCCTGTGTATAAATTCCACTGTAGCTATAAGCACTACATTTAGAAAGACTCTAATTTTGTTTAGAACCCAAACTAGCTTAAAATTACTCCGGCTCAGCGCTAACTAGATTGTTCTTTATGAGACAGATCTGTATGCTTGCAAGATGGAAGCCTGTGAATCCTCTTTACTTAGTTACTGCATTCATCACATGGGACACATTTTTACAGTACACTTTCATTCCCAGGTGTACATTTATTAAGCCCAGATTAAACCCAACAATGAGGGATGTGGAATCACCTAAGACTGATACACATCCCACTAGCCCACCACAATCAAAGAACTAAGTTCTTCTCCCCTTGAAACTGGATTTTCATTAAAGTGGAAGTTATAAACAGAAATAAGACAGATTGTTCCGAAGATGCTAACTTGCAGTCCTTGACAATTCTGTGAATTCTTACTATACCATTCCTACTTGTGAGACATGGGATATCAGCAGAGCTATTTTTGTAGAAGAGGGATTTGCAGTGCAGTTTGATTACCTTTGGAACAAATGCACAGAACTTTCTCAGAAGTCCTGGTGATTATGGTCCTACCATGCGAGAAGAGACAATCAAAGCACTTGAATCCCTTTGACTTCAGTAGACTTCACAGGCAAATCAACAGGATCTAAGAATGTTGGCCTGCATTTCCTCAAAATATATTGAACTCAGGCTGCTTTACCATTTTATTTATTTATTTATTATTTATTATGAGATTTCTGTCCCGCCCTACCCAGTGGGGCTCAGGGCGGCTAACAACAACATACAAATACTAAAACAATAAAATAATTTTAAATACAATAAAAACTGGCGCTTCAGTCTATACAACCTATACCATTTACAAAATGCTCGGTGATTATTTGCTGCCTATGATCTTAATAATGAGGGCGTCCCAGCGCAAACAGACTAATCAACCTCCATAGGGTCTGGTCGATGGACGATACAGCGGAGGTGGTGCAGCAATGGTGGTGGCGGCAGTGGCTCGTACCCAAAGGCCTGGTGGAAGAGCTCCGTCTTGCAGGCCCTGCGGAACTGCAGTAGGTCCCGCAGGGCCCGGATCTCCTCCGGGAGCTCATTCCACCAGGAAGGAGCCGCCACCGAAAATGCCCTAGATCTCGTATGGGCCAACCTCACAGCTCGGGGGGCTGGAACTAGCAGACAATGGAGCATCCCCGATCTCAGTGCTCTTGAGGGAACATACGGGAAGAGACGGTCCCTTAGATAGGCAGGACCCTGGCCATGAAATAGAAATACATGTATTTTACAAGAATTGTCATTTTGTTCCATTATTGTACCAAAATATAGATGTCACATCCTTCTCAGATTTTATACTGCTATAAGGAAGGCCCCCCCCCCCAATCTTTTGGCTAACAGGACAAATAAAAATCAGCCATTCATTCAGAACAGAAGCAATGCTAAGTTTTAGTTCACACAGGAACATACAACAAAATCAGTCCCAAAAACCAGTATCTGATTCAGCCTTTACATTTCATAAGCCTCTTTTCTTTCAATATTTGGATTCCATACAAAAAAGTATATTTAGGCTGCGGTCACACACACACTTCAGGGCCGCGGTGGTTCAGAGGTTAAGACGCTGAGCTGCAGACCAGAAGGTATGTACTTTGGCAGTTCGAAACGTGACGGAGAGGGCTCCTGTCTCTGCCCCCAGCTCCTGCCAACCTAGCAGTTTGAAAGCAAGAAACTGCAAGTAGATAAATAGGTACCGCTTCGGTGTGAAGGTAACAGCATTCCATGTACCTTGGAGTTTAGTCATGCTGGCCACATGACCATGGAAACGTCTTCAGACAGCGCTGGCTCTTTGGCTTGGAAATGGAGATGAGCACTGCCCCCTAGAGTCGGATTCGACTAGCTTTCGAGCAAGGGAAACCTTTACCACACACACAAAATAATCCACTTTCAGTACACTTTACAACTGGATTTTTACTGTGTGAACTGGCAAAATCCAGTTGGAAAGTGCACTGAAAGTGGATTGTTTAGTGTCTGTGTGATCGCAGCCTTAGAGATTTGTTTACAAAGCTGGAACTTCTGTTAAAAGGTGGAAAAAATGCCATAGGAAACAGTTTCAATTTAATTCAAGTGAAAAAATACATGTTCACAATAGTGATAGCTGAGTTGGTATAATACCAGTTACCTCTCAGCAAAGGGCCCCGTACTGTAGTTCTCTCTCAAGTTGTTCTGCTGTGAGAGTTCCTTCTATAGCTTCACAACCTGGGTTAAATACAGAGTAAGCACTTTTTTCTCCATTCTGCCTTTCTCCAGGGCCACGGGTTCCCACATAGATCCAATAAAACATAGACAGGACAAAATATGGCAAACCAAACTCCAGTTCCACAAAGAGTCCCAGTAAGACCAGCCAGAGGAGAAACTTGAGAAAGGTCACGTTCGCAAAAAAGTAATGGGTCCACCGTGGAGGGGATAAAACAGCTTGGGTCTTGGGGCTGTGTGTTCTTTGACTGGATTCCTAAGAAATGAGAGCAATAAAGAGATAAAGTGTTCAGTCATGCAATGGATATGGTGCTTGGTTAAAAGGAAAAAAAGGCTAAATGAACTAAGTATGTTGTGATTGGAACTCACCAATCCCTAACAGTCCTCACAATATACACTAATCCCCCACACACATACATCAGAATTACATTTTGTTACTTGTGGAATACAAAGCAAGAAAGCATTAATTGTATTTTAGAGTCAGCCTACTAGCAAAAGGAAAGGGCTTGGACCAGGTTTTAAAATCCTGCTTGGGCAAATTATTTCAGCCTGGCTTTCCTCACAGTAGGGGGGGGGGAGCTTGATAAAAGGAAGAAGAGATTGGATTTATACCCCGCCCTTCACTACACAAAGGAGTCCCAGAGCGGCTTACAAACTCCTTTCCCTTCCCCTCCCTACAACAGACACCCTGTGAGGTGGGTGGGGCTGAGAGAGCTCTTGACAGAAACTGCTCTTTTTCAAGGACAGCTCTTATCAGAACCACGGCTTGCCCAAGGCCATCCAGCAGGTGCAAGTGGAGGAGTGGGGAATCAAACCCGGTTCCATCAGATTAGAGTCCGCGCACTTAACCACGACACCAAACTGACTCTGAATGACATTTTGTTAGTTATGGAATACAAAGCAGAAAACATTATTGTATTTTAGTCAGCCTACTAAGCAAAAGAAAAGGGCTTGGACCAGGTTTTAAAATCCGTCTTGGGCAAATTATTTCAGCCCTATTTAGACATTCCCAAATCCTTGAAGGAAAGGCAGTATATTAACAAACAATGTCAATGTATTGAACTTTAAAGACTAACAGAGTTGACCAATGATGTCAAAGCTTTCAGGTAGATCGGTGGACAAGGCATGTATGTGCATATTAACCAATAACGATTTCCCCCTTCAACACACCTACATCCCTCACAGAAGAAGACGAGATTGGATTTATACCCCTCCCTTCACTACCCAAGGGAGCCTCAGAGCGGCTTACAAACTCCTTCCCCTTCCCACGACAGACACCCTAAGAGCAATGCTCCCTCTAAGCCAGTGGTGGCGAACCTTGGCACGGGTGCCAGAGGTGGCACTCAGAGCCTTCTCTGTGGGCACGCATGCCATCGCCCCAGCCAGGCCCAGACCATCATTCAAGTGTCGAATTCTCCGCCAAATAATTTTAAGTAAATGAAAGCATTTGGGATTGCTTTCCTTACTTTGTTTGGATCA